AACCTCAATACTCCGGGAGTATTGGGTTTTTGGAAGTGTAGAACTTCCTAATTTCAGAAGAACTGAAAGAGAAGTGATGAAAAAAAATACTAAAAATAGGGCTAAGCTCAGAGGAACAAATTTAAATGGCCAAAGAGACACTAAATCTCAAGTGAGTGTTCGGGCTAGCTTCAATGCACTGGATTGTGGCTTTAAAGATATAAACAACAATAACAAGAGATAATGAGCTAATGAGACAAGAAAGAAATGAGACCTGGTAATATCAAACGTGATACAACTGAAGAAGGTCACTGGGAATAAATTTATAGAAAGAGAACAATAAGAAGAGAAAAGAAGGGCGCCAACTCAACAATAGTTGAGATTTTGAAGTAACAAATGAATCTGGAGATAATACTCTGAAATACAAAGATACTAAATAATAATCTTGTTTTGCTATGTTATATACTGGTTAGTAGAACTGAAATAAAACTCAAAATAGCAACAATAAATATATTTATAAAAAATGTATATAGGTATATGTGTATAAACAATTTACATATAATGCAAAGCCAAATAACAGTGGTAGTGGATGGTGTACAGATACAATGGGACCTAATAGCCCCTCAACAAATGAATAGTCACTACCACTGGCCAAATAAAATATGAAATATTAGTATAAACCAAGAATAGTCCGTAGGGTTGCCTAAGTCTTCACAAAAAGGTAGTAATTTAACTTAAATAGTTCTACTAATATGAGATACTAATGACAATATTAGGTTTGTTCCTACAGAAGTTTCAAACTGTCGCCGACTGTCAGACGCATGCGCAATAATAATTTCGCCGTTCCAACAAGATTTTCTCTGATACCTTGTCAACAAAGTACACTGTTCCATGAAATATAAAACCAGTTTGAAATTAGTTCCTGACAGTTTGAAAAGTTTCCGAACTTTTTGCAAACTGGTAATCACAGACATGCGCAATTAGTCGAATTTTGATTTACTCACACCTACACTGTTTATTTTTAATTTTAAATAGGTACCTTTGTTTTGGTAATTTTGTTGTTTTAAGTACATACATAATATTGTATTTTAGTGTTTTATACTTTTGATATTATAATTTATAAAACAATGAGTGACAGTGAATATTCGTCATTATCCTCTATGAGCGACTCCAGTGATGACTTGGAAGAAATTGTATTGGAAGATAGAATTCGCCCTAAAAATAGAAACTATTTTGAAACAACTGTTTCCCAATACAATGAAACAGAGTTTAAGGAGCATTTTCGAATAAGTCGGCATGTTACTGAGTCCATAGCTGAACAGTTTCAAAATAGTGACTACTATAAAATACATGCAGGACCATATGGTAAATTGTCAGCAATGCAACAAGTTTTAATTTTTTTATGGTATATAGGCCATCAAACGGCTAGTTTTAGAGATGTTGCAGACCGCTTCAACATTACAATAAGTTCTTTGTCTAGAGTGATACGAAAAGTGACTTACTTTTTGAGCTACTGCTCAAGTCATATAATAAAATGGCCAACCGATGAAGAAAAAGTTAAAATTGAGAATGTCTTTCGTACGAATGGTTTCTTAGGTGTAATTGGGATAATTGATGGTACACATATCAAGATTGACAAACCAAAGGATGATCCAGATTCTTACATAAATAGAAAAGGATTTTATTCGATTCAGGTAATTTTCTTTACTGTACAGTAATAAAATGTATTTATTCTATGTTATGTTTTAGTTACAATTGGTATGTGACCATGAATTACAAATCAGAGACATATTTATTGGTTACCCGGGCTCTGTACATGATAGTCGAGTATTCCGCAGTTCTCCATTGTCTCAGACACTACAAGAAAAATGTGGAAATTATTATATATTAGGAGACAGTGGATATCCTGTATTGCCCAATTTATTAACACCCTTTAGAGACCGGGGGCAGTTAAGTAGGGCCCAAATAAATTATAATTCAAAACTGTGTGCTAACCGGTACTTAGTAGAGCATTGCATAGGAGTCCTCAAACAAAAATTTAGGCAGTTATACCATCTTAAATTACGCTCTATAGCTGATTGTGTACATTTAATAAGAGCAAGTTGTGTTTTGCATAATATTTCATTAAATGATGAATTTTTATATGAAAACAATCCTGCAGGCAATAATGAAGCAGCACCTGATTTACAGTTGGACAATAATGATCCTGATGATGAACCTGATGACAGAAATGGTGCTGCAGTTCGAAATCAAATTTTAAATTTGTTAGAACAATAAAAATTTTAAAATACTTTATTTTTTAATTATTATGATTTTTACAGTTAAAGTAACAAAATATTTATTCAGAAAAACAATACTATACATATAAATTAATCTTATGGATTTTCCCTAAGTTTGTTTTGCTTTTCAAGTAGTTGGTTCTGCTTCTCAAGTAATTGGTTTTGCTTCTCAAGTAATAGATTTCGCCTTTTTATCTCTTCTAGTTTTTCTCTATGAACCACTAGCTTATCCCTTTCAATACTGAGCCTTTCCTTATAATATTCTGCTCTCTCTATTCTCATATTTTCCAATATTCTATTTCTATTTAGAATTGGATGCTTTGTATTGGTATTAGGTGCAGATGTAGCGGTGTGGGTAACTGGAACTGGGCTGTCAGTATTCTCTACTTCTTGAGTTTCAGTCTCCTTTAGAACTACATCTGAAGTCAACGACACATTTTCAATAACTTTTGTAGCAGATAGAAGTATCTCGGGATGAATATTTCGTTTTTTTTTGAATATACTGTCCATTTCATCTTTGAATTCAAAAAATTTTCGTCCTCTACCTGTTTTATTCTGATTATCTACGAACTTTTTGTATCCCCTTTCCAATACACGCCATTTATTTTCACAATGCGACGGGGACACATTTATATGTAAATTTTTATTTATTTCCTTGGCTATAATCTCCCATAATTTTTTTAAATTTCTTATTTGGAGAGTTCCAACCTTAGGTTTATATTTCTTATATAAATCTATTAATACTTTAGACTGATTGGTGGTCCAGACCACATAGTCTACAGTTTTAACACTACTATCTTCAACATGGTTTTCATGGTAAATAATAATTTCTTCCATATCTAAAACAAATTAGTATTTATTATAGGTAACTGCATGATAATAATAATTATAAAGATTTACCTTCCTCATTGTTTTCCATTTTAAAGAAGAAACAATTTACTTTGTTACAGCGAATAAAATAACACAAAATTTGTTTATTTAATATAGGCAACTTGCCAGCTCGATAGGATATTGTTCCAACAAAAATCACAAACTAGTTCGCGGCTGGTTAAATTCGCACATGCGTATTGTGCAGCAGTCAGAAACTGCCCTGAACTAGTTTCTGATTCTTTGTAGGAACAAACCTATAGTAAAGATATCAAACTTGATAAGTCTATTACAATTATTATATTACATCCAAAAAATGAGTCTTCAATACTCTTTATATAATGTTTAAAAAAAAAACCACATGAAATTTATTTCCCTTCCCAAAATCAAAATTGTATTATATCAAAAATGTATTCTATTAAAAAAATATATATATTAAATCAACAAATGAGTTCGGTCAGACTCTGTATATCCTATTTAAAAACCTAATAAAACATGTAATATATTTTCTTCTCCCCAATATTTTTAGAATTAGATTATATCAAAAATAAAATTATCACAAAGGTATTCACCTTATCATATGCATATGATGAGTTAACAGTAAATGGATAGTAATACAAAAAGTCAAATAGTTTATAAACAAATTATCTTTACAGCACTATAAGTCCATAGGAAAAACTCCTCTTGGCACGGCTACATCAGTTTATGGCTGTAAAGACGAATCCTGGGCACAAAGACCACAACCAGTCACTGGTCTCTGGGTGACAGCAAAATCCACGGGTTACATACACAAATTGCTAACTATCTAAGGATTCAAAGTTACTTCTATGAACTTAAATTAATATTTTCACGTGACGGAATCTAAAATGATTATTTAATTTAATAAATATGTAATTTAATAGGTGTAGCAGCATGGATTGACTGCACCAAAACAAAACATCAAAACATTAGGTATTAGGTTATGTCAACATGCCAAAATTTCCGAAGTTCATTTCGTAGACATGACAGGCTTGCGCCATGAAATGAACATGCGCAGAATACAGAAGGCTGTAGCACATTTGTAGAACCTTTTATATTCCACCAAAAAAGTTAGAGAAAAAAAAGAACCAAAAAACTTAATGATAACGACATGGACTAAAACAGAATTTAAGTTTAACTATATAAAAAAAAATGACCTTCTGTTCTTTGCAAGTAAATCAAGGAAATTTTATATTTAAATTATTTCGGAACTCAAAAATAAATCTCTAAAGAAATACTAAACTGCAAGGATAAATTTGATTATATGATAAAGAGATAATACGTATGAAATTATTTACTTACATGGAGCCGCAGCACGTCAAAAAAAATCTTCCTTTTTATGTGGAACTCTTATAAATTACTCTTGATTTTAAAAATTTACTTATTATTATTATTATATCTATTTTATTTATGAATTAATTTATTCTTCCCCAAATTATCTTCCTTGCTCCAATTCCGTCACTTTGAAGGTGAAAAAATTTCACCGGTTGACGTGGCTGCGTTAACGAGTTCTGACCAAAACTCATCGTTCCGCTTCCGCATAAAATCGATCTTCCTTTCCAAGCGCTAACAGCGCGTGGGTGGGGAAATGTCGATTTAAAATCGATCGTAGGCGGGTAATAAGAAATTTCTTGAGGGGTTTAAATTGGACTAGTCAGTAGCGTAAACGCTACACCCTCTACTCTATTCTTTGCTAATGCAGCAATAGGGTACTTGAACTTGACAGTTCTACCACATGAGAGTTGAGTATTTCCAAATCCAGCTAAATATCTTGCTAAGGTATTTGGATAGTAGTACCTTGCATTTTGAACGTCTCTAGAAAATCGTTCCGTTTGTCAGTCTGTTTCAAATCCGTTTTCAAGGTGTATTTGTACTAATCTCGCATATGTTAATGTGGCAAGATAATAGCTCAGTGCGGAGCACTGCATATTGTAAACCCTCGGTCGTACTATGTATTATTGGATCATCTGGATTTCTATTTAGTACAGAGCCAAACGCTTCAAAGAAACTCTCAGCGTAAAGGGGATCGTTCTTGAGCTCCGAAGATTTTTTCGACAAATGTGCCGGCGGTTCTACTGATACAGGAGGCATTTCCTGTTTTTGCGGCTGGTGGTGTGGTGGTCTTTCTTCTTTTCCTTTTCCACCTCCTCGACTACGGCTTCTTCCTCGTCCACGGCCTCTAAAGTTATTAAATGATTGATTTCCATAGCCGTCTTCTTCACCATATTCTTGTCTTCCGTTAAAATTATTATTACTATAAAATCCGCGTCCTCGACTTATTTTATTTATTTATTAATTTTATTCAAAGAATACAAAGAGTTAATATAACAAGTAACAATGATAACAATGATATTAGGATGAATAATAATAATAATAGGAAAAACAATAATAATTTTCAATATAATAAGAATAATAATCAACAATTTAGACAATCATATAATAATAATAGATATGGAAATAATATGCAAAATTTTAACAACAATAATAATAATCAAAATAGACAAAATGTTAATAACAGTACTAATTATTACAATAGACAAAATGTTAATAACAATACTAATTATAATAGACAAGATTTTAACAATAGGAGAAATACAGAACGGCATAATTACAACAGACAGGTAAATCATATACGAAGGAACAGAAGCTGCGAAGATAGAGAACGATATAGTACAAGGCAGGAAAATATGAGAAGTCATAGTAGTGAAAGACACAGGACATTAGAACCAAATGGTCAGACACAATTAGAGAATAATTCTAACAATCCAAATTTTATGCAGTAAACTTTCTGAATTACAAGTGTGGTCATTGTCATTATGAGAAACCTTCTGAATTAATTTCTTTGGATGAAGATAAAATTATTGAATCTATTAATTTAATTTATATAAATGCTATGGCCAAAAATAAAATGATTAAGATTATGATACATACTGGTTCAGAAAGTACTTTAGTCTCGCAAAATTTTATTTTTAATACATTAAAACTATCAGATATAATGAAGATTCCAAAAATTAAAATAGTTGGTGCAAATAATAAGAAGTTGGGTGAAATTGATAAACTAGCTAATTTTAAAATTAATATTCTTAATAAAGAAATTAATATGCAAGGATTTATTGTCAAGGATTTATGTGTTGATATATTAATGGGAAATGATGAATTGGAAAAGAAGAAAGTGAAGATAGATTTTGAAGAAAAAGTTGTAACTTTGGAAGGGCAAATAATTAAGTTTATGCAGAAAGATGAGGAGGAAAAAGAAATAAGAATTGATAGGATATTATTAAAAGAAAATAATGATGTTTATGAAGAAGAAATGTATTTTGATAATAGGGAGATGTCCCAAAATAATATAAAGAATAATTGTAATGAATATTTAAGGAATGGAAAAAAGCAGATGGATGCCTACGAGGCGGAGTGCGTAAAACTGGAAGCAAGGAATAATGATTACATAATGAAAAATAATTTTATTTGTAAAGAAGAAGATATGATAAAAGTTTTAAGTTGCCCTGAAGAATATAAATCAATATTCATTTCCATATTGCAGCAACACAAGGGACTTGTTAATAAAGAAAATGGAATTGCACTCAATTATATTCATAGTATAAAAGTAAAAAAAGAAAAAGATTTTAAAACAAAATCGTACCCAATACCATATAAATACAGAGAAGAAGTAAATAGAACAATTAATAATATGTTAGAAGATGGAATCATTGAGAAGGCAGATACTCATTTCATTAACCCTATAGTGGTAGTACGAAAAAGATCAGGTGAAATCAGGCTATGTTTGGATGCAAGGAATATTAACAAGATCACTGAAAAGCAATTTGAAGCACCAATGAGCATAGATGGAATACTAGGAAGAATTACAGGAATGTCATTTTTCACTAAAATCGATTTACAGCATAGTTTTTGGTTAATACCTCTAGAAAGGAAAAGTAGACAATATACACGATTTCAGATAGATGGAGTAGTATATCAATTCAAAGTAGTACCATTTGGACTTTAATCATCGTGCAGTGCTCTATGTAGATGTCTTCATGATATTTTGGATCAATATGAACAATTTGTAATTCATTACATTGATGATATATTAATTTTTTCTAAAACTGCCGAAGAGCATGCGGAACACCTAAAAATAATAATGAAGATATTAGACAAAGTTGGACTAAAAATAAATCAAGAAAAATGTACATTTTTTCAAAAAGAAGTAATATATGTAGGTTATAAACTTAATACTAAGGGAATTGAAATGGATCCAGAACGGACACAGGTTATTCAGGAATATAGAACACCACACAATTTAAGAACTTTAAGAGGATTTATTGGAATAATTAATTATTATAAAAGGATGATACCAGATCTAAGTATAAAAGAAATTCCATTACTTGAACTACTGAGAAAAGGTGTAAAATGGAAATGGGACCAGCGAAGAGAACTAGCATTCCAAGAAATCAAAAACATTTTTCTGTCAAATTTAAAAATATACCATCCTGACTATACAAAGCTATTCATATTAAGAACAGATGCCTCAATAGAAAGATTATCAGGGGTATTACTACAAATACATGATGGGGTCGAATACCCAATACAATTCATATCAAGAATTACAAAGCCACATGAAAAAGGTTATTCAATGTCAGAACTAGAACTAGCTAGTATTATACACTGTATCACAAAATTAAGATTTTATTTGTTGGGCAATGAATTTACTATAGAAACAGATCACCAAGCTTTAACATCTATATTAAATAACAAATATGGAAACACTCGAGTACATCGTTGGAGCCTAATACTGAGTGAATACAGTTTTGAACTCAAATACATTTCTGGAAAATCCAACATAGTGGCAGATGCTTTGTCAAGGTTAGAAAATACATCACAAAAAAGGAAGCGAACAATAAAAATTGGATTAAATCAGTTGGTAGAAAACACTGGATTATATTCTAAAGAAGAAATCATAAGACATCAAATCAATTTGGATGAAAAACAAAAAGTCCTTAAGAAAAATGGGGTGTTGTATAAAATAATTAATGGCTTAGAAGTGTATGTAATAAGTAGAATTTTGGCAAGAAAGATATTGAAAGATTTACATAAAAGTTACATGCATATTGGTTCAAGAAAACTTTGGATGTTATTTAGAGATAATTATTTTGCAAAGAATGACCTAAGTATAGCAAAAGAAATTACTACACAATGCTAAATATGTCAAATAAACAAAGAAAAGAATTTCAAAAACCAGAACACATATAAATCCAATGTTGCTTATGAAAAACTAAATACAGTTGCCATGGATTTCATCTCAAATTTAGTTCCCAGTCCAACAGGAAACAAACATATATTAGTGATAGTTGATTTATATACAAAACTTATTGAAACTATATCCATGCTCAAGAACAAATGTTAAAACATTGAAATTATGTATTAATCAGTTTTTCGAAGAAATAGGACCATTTAGAAATTGCATAATGGATAACGCTACATATTTTAACAACCAATAATTTCGGACATTTTGTGAGAAAAAGGGGATCAACATTCATTTTACAAGTATTAGACATCCTCAAGCAAATCCTGCAGAAAGATATATAAAAGAAGTTATAAAATATTTAAGGATACTATGCCAAGACGAACAGGTCACATGGCAGGATTATATCGAAGAAGTGGAATATTTTTTAAATAATACACATAATTTAAACACAGAGGAAGTACCAGAATATTTAATGTTTGGTCATATAGGAAATAGAAAGTGGATTTCAGAGGGTACATAAGATATGTTAGAATAAGTCATGCAAAAGGTGAACAGAAGAATTCAAAGAAAAGCTGAAAAATATATCAGAAGACAAAATCGAACAATTAAAAAACCAATCACGTTTCAAAAAGGAGACAAAGTTTTAATTCGTTCACTTAGACAAGGGAATTTGAGAGAAAACCGTTGTAAGAAATTACAACCACTGTTTGAAGGTCCATACATAGTTCAAAACCAGAATGGACTGAACAGCTATGTATTGATAAATGCACAGAATAACCTAAGAGGAATTTTTCATATTAATGACATTTTTAAATATTTTGAAGAGATGGAATAATGTTTGATATACTTTTAACACTGTTAACATCACAAACAGTTCACTAAACACTTAACTCTATTCCATTAGACAATCTTGTTTGTTGACAAAACAAAACATGGTAAATCATTGTGGGATAATGTATGAATTATTAATTTGACATGTCTTGAGCAGCTGTTGAATTTGTCCTTGGTTTGGGTCCTAAAAACCATAAATTTAATTGGAGTTAGGTATAAAATCACTATCATATAATTTACAATAATTTATAATATAATTTGAGTTAGGGTTATATATCTCCAAAAGACTAATTTTGTAAATATTTTATACTGACAGATGAAAAGTAAAACTTACCATTTATACTAAAGAAAGTCTTTTGAACCAAAAGAAAGAATTATTTCCTAAATCTAGTCTATTAATAAACAAACATTGTGTAGAAACTTATTAGTTAAATAAACATATGATCTTTGTCATTTGACATGACAATTTGACATTTGACATGGAACATATATTACATAGGCGCAGTATGAGGGAATGTTAAATAAAAAATTAAAATATTGAATTATATTAATTAATATATTTACAAATGTGTATGGATAGGAAAATTAATTTTAAAAAAATAATAATAAACGAATTATTTATTTTAAAATGAATTTTGGGGTATTATAATGAAAACAGAAGTACAATAAATTAACTTAGAAATATATACAACCAGATATGCAGTGTTGATTAGTAGATTTATTTAGATAGTAATTGAAGACATAATTTATAAGTTATATATTAGATAATATTATTAAAAAATAATTATATGAGGGTATATTTAAGAATTTAGCATAAGAATTAAGTTTAAAAAGTGTTTTTTATTTTATTTAATATTAGATATTTTTGAGTCAGCATATGCAACCAAACATACACTGTAGTGTCAAAGTCAAAAAGTTATTTATTTTTGGAATGTTAATTTAGAATATAATTGTGGATGTAGAATAGTAAACATATATTTCATATAAATGTTAAAGTTACTTATAATAGTGTAGTTCTGATCTGGAGAGCCTAAAGTCAAGTAAATTGTTAGTGGAAAGTTCTGGAAATGTCAGTGGGACTGTATGCATAGTACATCGCAGACAAAAAAACTATTCCAGAATTTTCAAATAGAAAGGAATGGAATGATTCGAACATTATTTGTTGCTAGAATATTCTGGAAAGAATGAAGAGATATAAAAGGCCATGTAATTAGGAGGGAAGTCAGTCATTCAGTCAGTTATGAGTTAGAGTTTTTAGATCAGTTCAGTTAGAGTTCAAGTCAGTTACCAGTTCAGTTATCAGTATGATCAGTTATCAGTTAGTAAAGTTATAATTCAAGAATTTAGTTACAAGAAGATTATTAATTGAGTTAAGTGAGTTAGTTAGAAGATATTAAATCAGTTACAAGATTATTATTGAGGAGTTAGTTATAACAATTCGAGGATTATTAAGTCAGTTATTTATGAGGTTATGAAGAGATTATTACCTAGAATAAGGCATTAATTAAGTTAAATGAATTATTAAGTTAAATCCAGTTAGAGATTAATTATTACTACAGTAATATAGTGACACTTTGAAGTTAATTCAGTGAAATAAGCATTCAATAATACAACCACAAGATCCAGTATATTTCAAAGTACATTATATGGAAATTACAAGGAGGTAAATATATATATATATTTATATGGTGAGTGGAGATAATTAAGAAGGAACATATTAAAATATTTGGATAACCCAGGCTTAGTAAGAAGATATCGAGTGGTGATAATAACTTTAATTTTGGAAAAAACTTTAGGCGTTCAGTGAAAGAGAGTACCAAATTTTATTAATAATTTAATAATTGTAAGAATTTCAAATTTTAGATAGATTGTTTTAAATTGATATTGCTTATATTAGATAGATAGGTTTGTTTCATAATAGTTATAATAAAGATAATTTAAAAAAGTACTTACAAACTAATTCTTTGAGAACCGCGATAAAAACCCTATACTTACATATATATCATTCAAATTTACTCATTGCTCATACATACAACAACACATCATAACAATTTTGGCGCCCAACGTGGGGCTTGGTCACACCGTATTTTGAGATTATTTTTTCTTAACTACTCTTGAGTCATCAATTTTCACGATAATCCGTGCCACCTCGTATGGGGAGAATGATGACATGTTGAATCGCTCTGTGTTCAGTTCTTCATATTCATCATCACGGAGTGAATTTATAGTGTCACTCCAATCGGGGGGTGTCTCTCTGAAATTTCTACCATTCCAGAAAATTGCCCAGTTAGTGTTATTTTCAATTATATGTTGGGTCCTATATAAATGCTTCACGCCTAGATTGGCGATTGGTCCCGCAACTTCGAGAAGGCTAGATCCTGTTCTATCGCAGTCTATTTCTAATGTCATGCCATGCTCCGGTGGCTGTGGCTTATTAAAAGGTATTTGCCCCTGTGAGCCAGCGACTACAGTTGGACAGTCACCAGCTTCAATATGCTGTAAGTTGGATAATTCTATGGAAACTGCCTCCATTAATTTTCTGTTAAAGTTCCAACTTTGGTTTTCACATTCGAATAAACCTGCTACTACACCCGCTTCAGCCAAAAAGGCTTGTTGTATTCGGCTCAACCCTTGCGATGGTAGCCAACCCTGTAAATTCCGATTGCGTATAAGGTTACCTGCCGGGCGAATAGCTTGTGGTAAATTCCAAACTCTAGAATCATCATTTTCATCAACCTCCTCTTCTTTATCATCATCAAGTAATTCTTGTTCGCGAGGTACATTGAATTCAGCTAAAATTCTTTTCGCGTATACTGCGGTACATGGATAAGATCTATAATAATAGAGTGTATTTACACCAACTCTACTCCACCAACTTAAGCCCTCTACTCTATTCTTTGCTAATGGAGCAATAGGCTACTTGAACTTGACAGTTCTACCGCATGGGAGTTGAGTATTTCCAAATCCAGCTAAATATCTAAATATCTATCTCTTAAATATTGCTAAGGTCTTTGGATAGTAGTACCTTGCATTTTGAACGTCTCTAGAAAATCGTTCCGTTTGCCAGTCTGTTTCAAATCCGTTTTCAAGGTGTATTTGTACTAATCTCGCATATGTTAATGTGGCAAGATAATAGCTCAGTGCGGAGGGCGGAACGCGTTTATTAAACCCCGCAGCCTTGGTTATGTATTCCTTATATAAAACAGAATCTATATATTGTAAACCCTCGGTCGTACTATGTATTATTGGATCATCTGGATTTCTATTTAGTACAGACCCAAATGCTTCAAAGAAACTCTCAGCGTAGAGGGGATCGTTCTTGAGCTCCGAAGATTTTTTCGACAAATGTGCCGGAGGTTCTACTGATACAGGAGGCATTTCCTGTTTTTGCGGCTGGTGGTGTGGTGGTCTTTCTTCTTTTCCTTTTCCTCCTCCTCGACCACGGCTTCTTCCTCGTCCACGGCCTCTAAAGTTATTAAATGATTGATTTTTATAGCCGTCTTCTTCACCATATTCTTGTCTTCCGTTAAAATTATTATTATTATAAAATCCGCGTCCTCGACTTATTTTATTTATTTATTAATTTTATTCAAAGAATACAAAGAGGTAATATGACAAGTAACAATGATAACAATGATATTAGGATGAATAATAATAATATTAGAAAAAACAATAATAATTTTCAATATAATAAGAATAATAATCAACAATATAGACAATCATATAATAATAATAGATATGGAAATAATATGCAAAATTTTAACAACAATAATAATAATCAAAATAGACAAAATGTTAATAACAGTACTAATTATTACAATAGACAAAATGTTAATAACAATACTAATTATAATAGAAAAATATTTTAACAATAGGAGAAATACAGAACGGCCTAATTACAACAGACAGGTAAATCATATACGAAGGAACAGAAGCTGCGAAGATAGAGAACTATATAGTACAAGGCAGGAAAATATGAGAAGTCATAGATAGTAGTGAAAGAACAGGACATTAGAAAGAAATGGTCAGACACAATTAGAGAATAATTCTAACAATCCAAATTTTATGCAGTAAACTTTCTGAATTACAAGTGTGGTCATTGTCATTATGAGAAACCTTCTGAATTAATTTCTGTGGATGAAGATAAAATTATTGAATCTATTAATTTAATTTATATAAATGCTATGGCCAAAAATAAAATGATTAAGATTATGATAGATACTGGTTCAGAAAGTACTTTAGTCTCGGAAAATTTTATTTTTAATACATTAAAACTATCAGATATAATGAAGATTCCAAAAATTAAAATAGTATGTGCAAATAATAAGAAGTTGGGTGAAATTGATAAACTAGCTAATTTTAAAATTAATATTCTTAATAAAGAAATTAATATGCAAGGATTTATTGTCAATGATTTATGTGTTGATATATTAATGGGAAATGATGAATTGGAAAAGAAGAAAGTGAAGATAGATTTTGAAGAAAAAGTTGTAACATTGGAAGGGCAAATAATTAAGTTTATGCAGAAAGATGATGAGGAAGAAGAAATAAGAATTGATAGGATATTATTAAAAGGAAGTAATGATGTTTATGAAGAAGAAATGTATTTTGATAATAGGGAGATGTCCCAAAATAATGTAAAGAATAATTGTAATGAATATTTAAGGAATGGAAAAAAGCAGATGGATGCCTACGAGGCGGAGTGCGTAAAACTGGAAGCAAGGAATAATGATTACATAATGAAAAATAATTTTATTTGTAAAGAAGAGGATATGATAAAAGTTTTAAGTTGCCCTGAAGAATATAAATCAATAGTCATTTCCATATTGCAGCAACACAAGGGACTTGTTAATAAAGAAAATAGAATTGCACACAATTATATTCATAGTATAAAAGTAAAAGAAGAAAAAGATTTTAAAACAAAATCGTACCCAATACCATATAAATACAGAGAAGAAGTAAATAGAACAATTAATAATATGTTAGAAGATGGAATCATTGAGAAGGCAGACACTCATTTCATTAACCCTATAGTGGTAGTACGAAAAAGATCAGGAGAAAGCAGGCTATGTTTGGATGTTTTTTGACAAATAATACAACAGCACTGTAATTGCCTCAATCCAACTCTCACTCAACTTCAAACGGGCTTTAGAAATTGTTATGTTTAAATTTGTTAAATTCTGGTACCGAAACCTGCGAAGATGATGCAGATGCCAAATTATTACAAATTTCAGATTTTTCTTAACGAAGTGAAGTATTTGAGTCCACACCTGCACACACAATAATAATTTGTGAGAATTACTCAAAACCTTTACAAGATTTAGATGATGAATTTCTCTGTTTTTATTTTAAAGCCTATGAAACTGGCTCCTTGGATACAATATGGAAACTTAAGGATGCCGAACAATAATTTTGAATTTTTCATAATATCGTCTTTAAAATAAGTTTTTATGCACATAGCAAATGTTGATAATTTTGTACAGAGATTTAAAAAATTTGTTTTTATACAATCAATCTTGTCATACATTTTTCACTTTTGTATTTAAAAATTATAGTATATTTAATATTAACACAAACAATTATAATTTGGATTGTTTTTGTAGGTTTTTGTACATTTCGAAAATGTTTTTTAAATAAACAAAAAAAAATAGAATTTCACATAATTCAAAAGTAACATACCATTCAATAAATATGTAGTATGAAGTTCTTGAACTGATTCGACTATTATTCCTGTTTCCAAATAATCAGTTTCTTATTACTACTTTTTTTACAATTCCGATTTATGGATTTTAAAGTGGAGAATAACCTTAACCTGAAATACAATTTAACAAGATAAATTCGAGGGAAATCTGTGAACGAATGGTCTAACTCTATATTTTCACTAAAAATAAGTAAATGTTTTAGGATATCTGTTTGAACACAAACTTCCTCGAATTTACTCGGAAACAAGACTTCTAAATGTGAAATATAAATTACAAAATTTTCGTCCGGCATCATTAATTTTCCAAACATGCTGCTGCCACATTCATAGGCTTTGAAGTAACAAAATAAAGTTGTTACCTCTAAATTTTCTACACCACGTGCATATTTTTCACAAATCGAACACGAATGAACTTGTAAACATTTTCTAACAAGATAACCACACACAATTTTTTTCAAGTAAATCATTTTGTTGAATTTTACGACGAATACTTATTTCCTGTTCAGCTCCAAATAACTGGGAAACTGGCAATTGATTCTCAAGAATACTCTTTTCGTGTAAATGGACTCGTGGAATGTCGTGTAAACGAAATAGTATTTTATCCATATCACCTTCACAATTACCTGTTCCTGAATTTAACAGACGAACAAAAATAAGTTTTTTAAAAGTTGTTTGAAACTGTATTGCAGTTGAATTTATACAATTACCATTTTGTTGTCGAATATTGTCGAATTGGAGGTGGGCTGGACATGTTGCTAGAATGGAAGACGGAAGATGGACGAAGAGATTATTGGAGTGGAGACCTAGAGCCGACAAGCGAAGTCGAGGCAGACCACCCACCCGATGGACCGACGACCTAAAGAGAGTAGAAACAAACTGGATTGCAGCAGCTAGAGATAGGGAGAACTGGAGACGTTTGGAGGAGGCCTATATCCAACAATGGATGTGAAAATTCGGCTGGATGATGATGATGGTGTCGAATTTTACCAAAAAATTCTCTAAGCAGTCTTGGTTAAGCCTTCGAGTAAAAATGAATTTAAAACTATCTTTTAAAATGTCCCATAATACTAGTAACCCATTTATTGTGACTCGGAAACACTTCAAAAATTTTATCCGGTTAGTGACATCATTTCCATCTTTGTCAATTACTTTCAAATTATTAAAAATTTGTTCACAATCCCTTAAAAAGTCTACCTGATATGGTAATCCCTTAAAAGCTCTTCCAAATTGTTTGGCTTTAGTAGTATGTGAGGAATTTAAAAGATCAAATAATTTGTCCATCATATCTACAAACT